AATCTACTTTAAAATTATAATCGTATCGATTTTCAAGAAAAAAAAAAAGATCGAATTTTATAATGGAATCCAACGCCGCGTTCTCGTACCCATTTATATATAAAGTTGAAATTGTTGGTAGGCACAAATGTGGAATGCTTCATCATGTAACAATAATTTTGCACCAAACAACAAATTTATTCTTACATGGAAAGTGTAATAAGAAACTCCATATATATATATATATATATAATGATTAGACACCTCCACATACAAACAATGGAGACTCATTTTTATTTTTTTATTTTTTTCTATTTTCATACTTTTTAATAAAATATATTTGATGTATATATATTATTTAAATTTTTTAGTGAAAATAACAACTCGAAATGTAACATAAGACACCCTAAATTTATTCGAATTCTTCACAATATAATCCCACTATTTGATTTAAATTTGAGAGCCAATGATTTTAATAATACATCAAACTTGTTTTAAAAAATGTCAAAATTTATAAATTGCAATAATAATTTAAATCCTATGATTGAAGACAATTTTGGGATTTTTGTTTAATATATATAAATTCGCCATTGTAAGTTTCATTTGTGCCATTGTATTATATATTGAAATTTTTTGAATTTCTTTTTTTCATAATATTATTTTTATTTTATTTTTACATATTATTAATATACTTGGCTCTTGATTTGATTTAAGATTTTTTTTTGTTTTTTTTACATATAATATGACATTAATAATAGTATATTAGTGATGTCATTTAGGGTATAAATATAATCTAAATAGAACACACCAATAATATCCAATATTTATTATCTATTTAAATTTTTATTATTTTTAAAATTATTTTAAAATGTATCTAAAAAAATTTTTATTCAATTCTTCTAGTTAATACCGTATATGTTGAAATTAAATAGGCATGTTTCTTTAAAGTTGGGAGTTTGGTTTAGGATTAAAAAATAGTAAAAAAAATAAAAATAAATTAAAATTGTATTTAAATATGGTATAACTAGATATTAAATACAATATTTTGAATAAAAAAATTAATTTTATTAAAAAATAAATTATTAAAAAAATAAATATTTGATTGATTATTTAATAGACCTGAAGGTTATAGTAATATTATTGAATAATGTGAGATAAGACCAAATTCAAATCTTAAAAAATACTCCTTCAGTCCAACTAAAAAATATACATATTTTTATTTTGGAACATTCAATTACAAAGTAAATATTTTATTAAATACCTTACTTTTTTCCACAATTTACTTTACATCACATCGTTACTTTTATACAAAAAATTAAGGACAAAAATATAGTTACACTACTTTTAACTACTCACTATAATTAAATACTATTATTTTTTAAACACCGCGCCAAAAATAAATGTATATATTGTAAGTGGACGGAATGACTATATAATAAAAAATACCAAAACAAGAAGAAAAAAATTCTTAATTAAAATATAATCAAAGAAAATAAAATTTGTATATAGATATAAATATGATATTATATATATATATATAGAATACAATGAAAGAAGGTACAGCCACGGGTGAGGAAGATAAGGTTTTGTCCTAAATTTATTAGATTTTCCAGACAGCAGAAATCACGCGTGTTGTCTATGCTGCCCACGCCCTTTCTCATATATTTATATATATATTATTTATATTATTTGAGCATATATCCGATAACCCATTTTAAAACCCCTTCGTCCGTTTTTAAGGTCATATTTATTTTTTATTTTATTATACTTAACATTAAAATTATCTTTATATTTGTATAATTTTTTGTACAAATATCAATCTATTAATATTATAAGATACTGAAATATTTTTACAATTTTTTCTTAATTTGCACTACGTTTTGATATAATAATTAATATTCAAATATCAACACACAAAAAGCAAATAGAACCTTTAGAGTCGGATGGAGGTTGTATAATATATAATACATTATATAGTTATACATAGCACAATATATTAATCCATCCGTCTCAATACACTAGTTTTATCACAACAAGAAAATATCATTTTTGTAACGAGGTTTTTCGTCTTTAAATTCACTTTTTTCCGTTACTAATTATATTAGAGACGGAATTAATAATAGAATTACGTTAGCTACGTGATCTTTAGTGACGGAATTCTGTTACAAATATACTATTTTTTTGTAGAGTATTTACCATTTTTATCCGTCCCAAAACAATAGTCTTATTTCCATAAATAACCTTATCGCCGTAAAACTACCCCTACTATTTCATTTTTATTACACAATTGTCACTATTTTTTACAGTAATACACTCACAAGGGCAAAAAAGTTTTTTATTCATACCTTATACCAACTACCAATATAATATCAATATTCCTTAAATCTCGTGTCCAATTCAATTAAAACTATAGTTATGGGACGGAAGGAGTATAATTTAAGCACAATAAATAGATTATACAACACAACACAATATACAATTTACACAATAAATATTAGTATAATATATAGCATAGCATGTTATAGAATTTTATATAGCACAAAATATTATGAAATCAATACAATAAGCAAACTATGCATCATAGCACAATATTTAATCTACATGGCAAATGCTTCTATATACCACAACATTTGCTATTTGTTAATTGTTTCAAATTAATGTGCTAACTTGATAAACTCAGCACCTTAACTGTCGTCATATATATATATATATATTGTTTATTCAGCGTTTTAGTTTGAATTGTTTTTGTATGTAAATTATAAAAAAAATCATACCGATAATATAAAAACAATATTTTATATAAAAATATTAACTTTTTGTAATGAAATAAAATATATACTGTCTTTGTCCAAAAAAAATATGTTCGTTTTTAAAAAAAAAAAAAATTGTTGGGTGAATTGAGTGAGTATATTTTTATATTAAAAATATATTATTTTTTATGACTTTTTCTTTTTATGGCACAACAATTCGTATTCAATTATTAAAAATTCATTTCACATTATATACATTACCAAATATATATAATAAAAACTCCATTCAAATATCACTATGAATGTTTAAATTCTATATAAACTACTCCTTCCGTCATATAAAATATGTTCGTTTGACTGGATAAATATTTTAAAAAATATTGATTAAAAAAATATATATATAGAAAAAATTGTATTATATTTACTAAATAAAAAACAACAATATTTTTGAATGACTATAAAAAAAAAAAAAAAAAAAAAAAAAAAAAAAAGAGACATAAATTTAGATGATAGGTAAAGTAACACATAAATGTGTGTCATTTCTATTTGAAATCATGATTAAAAAGTTAAAATTGAAATAATTATGTATTATATATAAATGAATTGAAGGAGGGAGCAAATCTTAAAAGTGTAGAAGAAAAGTGAGAATAAGGGTGTTAGAGTTGTGAGAGATTATAATCATTACTGCAATGATTCTAACATATGAAAATATATAATTATTGCATACAAATCGCATAATGCCATTAATCATTACATCCCAACTATCACTAATTCCTTCATCTATATATATAATCAATTTTAACAAATTATTATTCCTCTATCAATATATTATTTTCAATAACAATCTATTATTTTTTATATCTACATCCAACAAACATTTATTTCACCTAAACTTCAAACATTGGAGTTTGTTTGGTTATCTTTTGAAATTGATTTGAATTATATTGTGTTTTTAAAAATATATATATATTTTATTGAAAATCGTACGAATTAAATAATTTAAATTTGCATTCAAATTATAATAATAAAAAAAAAAAAGAACATATTAAAAAGGATAACACCTCTGGAACATAAAAAATATGAAGTTCACTTCTTACAAAGATAGCAATAGTCAACAACATAGCAAGAACCAAAAAAGAAATAAAAAAAGGTATAGCCAATTTTATGAGTTTAAACTTATTTTTCATATTATACATTAGTCATAATTCCATAAGAAAATATATTATTTCATACCACAAAATATTATATCTAAATTACCATTTAGTAATAATAATAATAGACACCCAAAAAAACACACAATCAAATTGTAACCCGAAAAAAATGGGCTTAACAGTTAGGACTTTTATTTTGGTAACCAAAAAATTGTAAGATAAACCTTTACCCACTACATAATTGGGCTTTTTTTTTTTTTTTTTTGTCATTATTAAATCAACTATTTATTTTTAAATTTAAATTCTACTCTATAATAATTGAGTTAAACATTTTACTAGCTCCAATTGTATTCAAAGGCACTGGATATGGTGTTGATCAGTATGGGTGGGTACGGTTGGGATATTTGCAAATATGCAAATATTTGATATTCGAACCGAACCAAACAAATACCCGAAATCGCAAATCGTATCTGAACCGAAAAATTCAGTTAACCGAATTTTCGATTAACCAATTAAAAAATAATATATTAAAAAATTAATTAAAATTCTAATTAAATCAAAATATTTGAAAATATTTCAAATATTCGAACCGAAACCGAACCGTAACCGAACCGAATATAATTATTAATATAAATTTTAAAATGTAATAACATGAATATATAAATATATTTTGTTGGGTTAACCGAACCGAAAAAAATATCAAAAATCAAAATCGAACTAACCCGAGCAAACATCAAATATGCAGTATTTGTATTCGAACTGAATTTGCTCAATTAACCGAAAATTCGGTTCGATTCAGTTCAGTTCAACGGTTCGACTTTTTTTACCCACCCCTACTGATCAAAGCTATTCAATATCATGATAATTAGCCCTTCAAGAGTAAATGTTAGTGTATAACATTAGTATGTGCTATTGTATTGTTTATATTATGTTGGGCTAATATCTAATATATATTGTCAATTAATATACTATATTATTGTATTAACATAAATTCTATTGTCTATTTACGGCTTTAGAACTGTTGGATTCAGCATACTGACAACAATCTTATTCGAATATAAACCTAAGGTAGAATCTACTGGTAAAATCAAATAGTAACAAATATGTCAGATATACTTACCGTAGGATTTTCCGTAAACATGGTGAACCACGGTTAAAGAGGAACCGGCGGTAGTGGTGCATCCCAAGGTTGTAAGAGGGGATGTCCGGTGTGGTGCGCAATTTTTTCGGGCGACAAGCCATGGTCGAGGAGTGGCTCTGATTCTGCCGATGTAATGAGCCCTCGTCCGTTTTTCAGCATGCGACGCCCAAGTCACCGAATAAAGTCCTGCAATAGTAAGTACTCCTCCAAGAATGCTGTTGCAAGTTAAGTAGAAGACATGGAGCAAGCTATTGTTTTCAAAACTTTAATTGCTTCAAAATAAAAAAATAAAAATAAAAATAAAAATCAAGATGTATTGATGGAGACATGAATGTAACCTGCCGGTATAAATAGGAGTTCCGAGGAAGATTTTGGCGAGGAAGGCCGAGGCGATGAATTAGAGAGGGAAGTAGAGAGCAACGAGGGCCGGGCCGAGGATCTTGTTCGACCATGCCGTGATGCCGTAGTTAAATGCAGATGTTAAAAGTCCCTAAAATGAGTAGAAAAACTTAGATAACACTAAACAAGAAATTGAATATAAGTACAGGCAAGGAAAAAAAAAGTGTTATCGTAACTTCAATAAATTGTACTACTTATGTACCGACTAATCACCTTCCGCGATATGCACTAAAATTTTTTATTTTATTAATTTTTTTTGTTTTAAATATACAAATGGCGAAAGGTAATTGATCGTTACATGAAGAATACAATTCATTAATGATAGAATAACTTAATTCATATATATATATATATATATATGATGGGACATGAATTTTATAAACGGACTATATAAAGTATCTTTATTAATGTAATAAATATACATCGCATAATAATATATACAATACATATTACAACTATTTCAGCTCGCAATATATATTAATACAGTGCAAATAAACTAAAACAAATAGCACGTAATAACAATCTATATAATATGTCTTGTCTGTTATATTTCATTTATTTTCTGGTCCATTTTTCATATATTGAATAGGAATAATAAGTATGGTGCCGTATTAGTCCCAACGAGCATCCTAGCTATTCTCATATATAACTTTCAACTCTTTTATTATTTATTTTCTCAATTTTTTTCTAAAATAACATAAGGAAATATGCTACTCGAACGTAAAATTCTCTAAAGCATAAACAGATAATCGAGAGAACTTACAGCGTAGCACACGGCTAAGGCTTCAGATTGTGTAGACAGCCAATCCGATGAATCCTTCGACATAAATGAAGCAATCGCAATTGTAAACACCAAAGCGAAACAATGCGAATACGCCCCAATGATATACAAGCAGGATACTCGACTAAAATTGGAGCCCGTGAATTAATTAATTAATTAATTAAACAATTAAAATAGCAGTAAATATCTAACCATCGCAACAACGACTGATACGAGCAAAAAAAGTCGTAATGAATATGGGCTAAGCTAACACACCTGAACGACAAGATAAATCGCCATGCAGAAGCAGTTGCCCATGAAGCATAATCCCGTGCTGCCACTTATCGATATCTAAGTATTTCAACAATTTCGGCGCTAACTCCGCAGCCAGAAAGTGTTGATCGTCGGACTCGTTTTGAACAGAGGGCCGTGCAAGACGGCCATAAGAACAGCACGGCAATACAAAGAAGAGCACCTCCTACTTTTGTTAGACCCTCCCTTTTTCTTAGATTCAACTTCTCGGTTCTGAAGAAGAACAGATAGAGATGGAAGATGCACGTGACTATGAAAAAATTTGTAAAAAATATCCCACACCTATACACCTATACGCCATTATTATTTTCATCTTGTATTTATATCGTTGGTAGAATATATTGTACGTGTTTGCAAAAGTCGGTAAAATAACAAGAATAGAAACTTTTGTAAACATGTATGATATATTTTGTCATCTTAATAAAATAAGGAGGTATACTATGTAAATATTACAATTTCATGAATTAAATCCACCCAAAGTTGATGTTGATTGCATGAATTAAGATAGTGGAACAAGAGAAAACTTGCTGATATATACAAATTGGAAAGTTATTTTATTAATAAAAAGAAAAATGAAATTAAAGAGAAATGACCAGTATTTATATGTTCTTAAATTCTAAAGTCTAAAAGAAATAAATTCAAAGTAAGAAAAATAGCAGGGTATTAAGTTTGGTCGAGGTTTACTCAGTTTGCACTTTTGGGTAGCGGATGCAGTTTCCACGTCAAAAAAAAAAAAAAATTTGCCAAATTTAAAAATTATATACATCCGAAAAGTAGAAAAACGTCTCCAAATAAATGGATTATGCAAATTTTATTCAATTTCAAATAAGAACACAAAAATAAAAAGGAAAAAAAATGGCAAATTGTGCCGATAGACATGGAACGTGTAACAATGCAGACATTACAATCAAAATCTTTATAAAAAAAAAAAAAAAAAAATCAAATTTAAGTACAATCAAACAAACTAATTATAATTGATTACTTGTAAATATCAATAAAAAAAATTAAACGTATCAATAAATATATATTACTATAAAAAATCAATTAAAAAATTAAAATATAAATATATAAAAGTAAATTATTATACTATAAATATTACAAATAAAAAAAAAATCAAAATTTGAAAATTGGTCTAACATGATCAGTTTGTAATCAAAAAGAAAAAGAAAATAATATATACATATATATATATATATACTCATGGGTTCAAATAACTAATACTCCATCTGTCTCAGAAGAAATGTCTTGTTGGGAATTGGCATAAAATAGGATGTAAAAAATTGTAATGTTTTTGCTTAAAAGATAGATTAGAGTAATAATTAGGGATAATTCGAAAAAATTGGAATAATTTTGTTATAAAATGGCAACCACAGTTACTAAATAGGAAAATAAGACAATTGTTTTGGGGCGGACGAAAATGAAAAAACAAGACAATTCTTTAGAACTGAGGGAGTATTTTATCTTGTCAGTCGCATATGATTCACCAATTTATTTATCAAACTTAATTTAGAAGTTATTATGTTTGATTACCCACGAATAATAATTATAGGTTCGCACGACATCAAGAAAATAAATATATATATATTAGTCATACGAATCTAAGGGGAGTTATGGGTTCGCACGACATCAAAAAGTAAATAATCTAAGGGATAGCACGTGACGGGATATTTTTAATAATAATTATTATTACTTCATTTGTCATTTAAAAAAATATTTTATTTTTGTACTATTTTTTAGTATAAAAAAAAATTAAAAAATTATTACTCAATTTTATTAAAATGAGCACACATTTGCATAAGAGAGTGAGTATTATTATTATTATTATTAAAAAAGTCAATTTAACTCGTGCTTTCTAAAATCAATATATAAAATAAATCCCCAGTAATAAATAAGGTCTCCGAGCGACCATTCACTTTATTAAATCATAAAAACAAAAATAAAATTTGTAGCAGAGTGTTTACAGGTTGGATCTCTAAAATAAAAGAAAATAATATTTAGATAATTATAAATCTAAAATTCGAATGACCCACCCAAGATTTTGTTTACAAGGATCGAACAGTAGCTAACTCTTCATGTCACAGATTCAACCAAAAAGATTTAATTAACACAATATTTGAATAATTGAGTCCGATTACAATTAATCCGAATCGAATCGAATCGACAAAAGATAAAAGTACAATGACAGCAAATACACGAATGAGTCCAAAAGTTCGAACAACCTCGGCTCCATTACCAGCTTTAAATTTATACAAAATTACGAACTTACGTTGACATAATACAATACAATTGCGCAAAAAAACAATTACCTCCAATCATCCTCGTGTAAGCGAACAAACACTCCGATACAATACGTGGAACCGGCAGCCCCGCGGTCGAGCGAATTAATTGACCGTCTTTATTGCCGGGTTTGAAGGCCCGGGGAGAATGTACCCGGCCGGGTACGAAATCTTGTCGATCGACGAATCATCGTCGAGGAGTGGTTGTGTTGCGGGAGAGCGCCCGTTGCTTTTTTCTTGCTTCTCGGAGTGCGCCGCCCACGTGACCAAATAAAGCCCGACGACAATCAGTACGCCTCCGAGAATGCTGTCGCGACAAAAAGTAGCAGATAGTAGAGTGAGCGAACATTCGATAGAGTATTAAAGCAAAAGCGAGCGAGCTAATAGTGTAGGACGAACCTTCCCAAATAAATCGGAGTTCCGAGGAAAATTTTGGAGAGGATTGCGGATGCGGCCGGCTGGAGCGGGTTGTACAATGAGACAAGGGCAGGGCCGAGGATTTTGTTCGACCATGTCACGATTGCGTAGTTCAGGGCAGACGCTACGAGTCCCTACAATGTGTAAGAAACTCGATTTAGAATGATTAAACTCGGACTCTTGCATTCGAGCTACAGACATCATATATATAGGGGCATGGATCAGCTGTTGATCTGATCGAGTCAACATAGTACTTATTTGATCAGATCAGTATATGCTATACAGTCAAATCAGCATTATCCTGACTTGGCCGGATCAACACAGGATCCGCACCTGTATAAATAGTCAATATAAGATATATGTTAATATGATACAAATGCAACATACGTGAAATGACTAACATATAATAATTATTCATAGAACACATACTACAGTTAAATTCAGCGTATAAAGTATATTCATATAGCACATTCTATAAAGTGTGAATTCAACACATAAATTTCAGTTAACATTACATATGTTGTATTAACTGAGACCATTTGTCGTCCAGCCAAATCAGTACTCTAACTGATCCGTTATATAAGAGAATTACGACAAGAAAGAACAGTTAGTTTGTCGATAATCGAATCCCGGGAAGAGAAACGAGAGAACTTACCGCGTAACATACGGCTAAAACCTCAGATTGTGTAAGGTTCCAGCTAGTCGATTCATTCGTCATAAGAAACGAGGTCGCGACCATACACACGGCGCCGAAGAAATACGAATACGCCGTCACCGAAATACTCGCCGGATACTTAGCCAAAAGCGGAGCCTGTAACATGGAATCGAAAAACCGCGATTAATCCGACGAAAATAAAACGTTCGGCGCGACGAATAAAATACCTGAACGGCTAGAAAAGCCGCCATGCACAAGCAGTTTCCGATCAAGCATAAAACCCCGAGGTGCCACGTATCGATACTGAATTCCAAAAAGCTAGACGCTAACCACGTGGCGTTCTCTGATTGGCCGGCGACGCTCACACGGTATAACTCAGTTGTCTCCGTATCGTCGTTTCCGATCACAACGGGACCGCGGAAAACAGCGACAAGTACCGCGCCCGAAATGCAAATCAAAGTGCCGCCTAACTTTGATCGACCTTCGACTTTCCGTAAATTCATCGTCTCGGTACTGCGCGGGGCACAAAGGAAGGCTATCGCTAAAGAGAAACAGTTCTATACGTCGATTCTAAGTGGAAAATCATGGAAATTATACCAACCCCATGATGACGGCAAATATGAATGTGAAGACCGGAATCGCAGGCTGTAGAGCCGAGGCGTACGTCGGATTGGTGTATCCGAGACCAAGAACGAACAAAAGCTGATTTCCGAAAATCCTGAATCCAATAACAAGAAAAAAGCGTTCCGAATATGTTTCATTTGATAGGTTTGAGAAATTTTGGATTTGAGTTTGGTATTAAAATAATGTATGATAGGATATTTTGTAAGAAAAACACTACTCCCTCCGTCCACAAACTAATGTCCTACTTTCCTATTTGGGCCAACGCCTATTGTCCTATTTCTTTTTTTTAAACACAAATTTTACATTTTTACCCTAAATTCATTTATTACTTTAAATTTTTACCATACAATTAAGGGCAAATTTGTCTATTCATAACAAAAGACAATCAACTAAAAAATCGTGCACTTTAGGACAAAAGAAATTGGATGGAGGTAGTATATTTTTTTTCAAAAACCGCAGAGTACAAATAGTAGAAACCTAATATTTATCGCAAAAGAAACACAGGCTATATATGTAATTAATAATGCATATATCCATAGTAGCTTAAAACTTTTAGGTTAGCATACGAAAAACAGAGGAAACAATTCCAACTTACCCCGATAATCCGAGAAAGCAAAACGTCAGTAGAACCGCTCGACTTAGAGGCGGTCGGGACCTTCTGCAAAACGTGTTACCGAAAAACATTGTGAATTGCAGCTAAAAAAAAAACACTCGACACAAACACGAATAGATCAATAGAACAATGCTTCTGATCTTCAGAGACTAAAATCATTGTTGCCACCGATGGATACATTTCGATAACGAATTTTCATCGGGAATGCTTCGATAAAATTTCTACGTAAAAAGATCAACAAGAGATACAAAAATGTGTCCAAAACGTTGGGTGTGTTCTTATATCAAACTTTACTCAATCTTTACTACTCATTACAAATTTTCACTCCAAAAACATCAAATCGAATGCATATTTTTTATTTTTCATATTATACTAAAAATTAATTTTACTTTTAAAACATTTTATATCACGTTATATAACTATTCAAATTTAAAAATTTTACTATTTAAATATCAAACCAAAATCCAATCTTATATATACTGTTTGCTAGTTTTACTTTGGCATACTTTCCATAAATTTATAAATTTTATGCTAATTGTATAATGTTTAATTTCAATATATATAGTTTTATTTTCTACAAAATTGTACTTATATATTTATAAATTTTACAACACTTCAATATACCTATTTTTCTTTCAAAAAAAAAAAAAAAACATTGGTATTTATTGCAATCAAATCATATCTAAATGGAGCCCAAATTGTCAAAATTAAGAAATGGTCCACCTAAATTTGAAATTTGATCAAAACTGGAAGAACATAATAATGTGATCCCCAAAAGCCATAAACAGCAAGCAACAGTCAATCCCTAATTCAAGCAACTTGTATAATCTCACAGAGCATCAAAATGCTCCTTTAATGGAGGATTCAACCAAAAAAAAAAAAAAAAGTCAAAGCACTTTAATAGAGAGAGAGAGAGAGGAGCAGGAATTCCATACTTTTCGCGGAAATAAGCAACAGGAGCGAGAATCGCGAGCGCGATGAGGTCGCGGTAGAGGCAGAAAACGACCTGATTGACGCCGCCGTTGAGCGCCACTTTGGTGACGACGTGATATCCGCCGTTGAACAGCTGCACCGCCGCCATCCCCAAATGCGCCTTCAATTCATTCCCCGGCGCCGCCATGACCTCGGCTAATTTCACCGCCGTAATCGGAGACTGAAATCTAGGGTTTGGTGGAAAGAAAAAAAAAGAAAAAAAAAATCGAAGGAAATGGTATTCTAAATTGAATCGAGAAGCGAGTGGATAATATTGAAATAGCTGTGGGGGGTCAGGTCAGCAGCAGCAGCGTAAATGCAATCGTCATCAAGTGCAACACGCAATTTGGGGGGTAAAGAAATTCCGTCCAGAATTGGTAGCAAAGAAGCAGCTGAGGAGGACGATGACGACGGACGGCGATGGCGACGGCGACGGCGATGGAGATCTTCGTGTTGAAATGAAAATAGCCCCAAATTTAGACTTTGAAAGAAATTTCACTAAAATTTGGAGTTTATCTCAATTTGAGAGTTACGCACGCGCGGCGTAATTCTTGCCTTGCTAAATACAGCCACGCCAATTGAAAAGCTTTTTTCTTTCCGTCGAATAGAAAATAATTTATTTTGGTACGGAATTTATTACGTCTCTTTGTTTTGATTAGAAATAAAATAGTTGTATTATGAGATATAAATTAATAATATATGTCGTATAAATTCTGTCTATTTAACTGTGCACAAATTTTAAGGAAAAGTGGATAAAAAATTAAAAAATATTCTTTCTATTATAAAGAAAATGAAAAATAATAGTATTTTTTTACTAAAAAATTAAAAGATAATAAGTTTGGATAACAAAAAAAATATAGTGGAAATAAATTTAAAAGACATAGTAGTATTTTTAGAAAAACAAAAAATTAGTAAATAGTAAAAATTTTGAGAAGTTTGCCAAATGAACATACCTATAATATACTTATATTGTTTCGTAACAAATGATATATTTCTTTCTATATCACTGTATTACATTTTATTTGATACTCTCTTCGTATCAAAGTACTTTTTTTACTATTTTCGTTCGTCTCTCAAAAGTATCTATTTTCTTTTTAGTAAAAATAATAATAAACTGATATCAAAATACTTTAATTTTTATTTAAATTACAAATATATAATTACTTTTTAAATAAATCAAAATGACATAAATATCAAAACTTCTTACATACTTCGACTAACTAATAAAATATTATTGTTTATTAAACTATGCCCCAAAAAACACCTTTAAAATAGGATAGATGGAATATTTTTTTTATATTTGATAAAATCTATTGATTCAAAATATAGTTAGGGTGTGTTTGTTTGGGGATTGGTTTTAAATATTCTATTCATCCAATTTTTTTCCCAAAAAATATTAACTTAAACATCTATTTTTTATTTTTTATATTATAGTATTAAAAATTAATTTTACATTCAAAATATTACATCAACACCTATTTATATTACATTATACAAATATTTCAATTCAAAATTTTTACTATTCAAATCTCAACTCAATATCCAAACCTCCAAACAAACACACCCTTAATAAATATAAAGTAATCCAATTATCTCTTTAATATATATAACATCATAAATCATTTAAAATGACTTAAAATCTCTTTATTTTTGTCTCTTTCATCGATAAATTTTTATTGAACTAACCTATTAATCTCTTCGTAAAGATAATTTAGTTGAAGTAACAATCCGAGTCGATCTTATGAGAAAGAATTCTTAACAACCGATATTAGTACCTGATTCAAAGAAGTTCGTGGCTGTGAGCATTCATTGTGCTTGTGAAAAACTCTCGTTGGCCTCATGATTTGAAGTGGTCGGTCTCAACAGTTATGGTCATGTAGCAAATCCCTTTGTGAAATATGGGGAGACTAATATGTTATATAGTTCTTAGTTTGAAGAGATGATTGTTGGGGTGCAAACTCAAGTTCCATATTGAAATATTTAAAAAAAAAAAAAGAGAAAATAAACACTTTTATAACTCATACGTGAACTCCGTTAGTATGAGATCTTTTGAAGGAAGTTCAAAAACAAATCTAGTGTTGAGTCGGATGCAGTTCTAACACTTAGTATTTTAGGTAGAACAATTTTCATAAATATTATTTTAAAATACAATATACACATATTAACCCACTATATATAATACATATATTATTTATTCATATAAAATAATAATAATAATAATAATATAAATATATATATATTTTTATATTACTAACATAATTTATTATTTTTTTTTATAAAATATTATATTAAAATATTGCTACAAACCAAACAATCCTGAAATCGATAGACTCCACTCCAATCTTGAACCATAATACTCTGCAAATAACCCCAATAAGAGAAGGCACATTAGGTAACACATGTATCACAACCTAAATTACAAAACTTTAACATGTAGCGATATAGGGTTGTCTTGTGAGACTGTTGAAAATAATTTTTTTTATATAAAATATAAAAAGTTTTGTAAAAAATATAAAAATAATAAATACATATATATTGTATTAATTTTTTTTATGGGATTTTTTTTTTCAATAACATCAAAATTCAAGTATTATTTTTAATATGAAATACTAAGTGTGTATTTGGTTAACGGTTGGAGTTTAAATTAGAAGTTGAATTGAAGTAATTTATTTTATTAACTTTTAATTTATAATAGTGTATAATTTTAAAATAGAATATAAATTTAAATATTTTAAAAATATATTTTAATAATATATATAGTGTGAATGTTATGTTGTAAAAATAAATTTTCAAACAATATAAATAAATAAATATGAATTTTTATTTATAATTGATATTAATTAATTTTATAAAGAAAATTTGAAAGATTTAAATGTATATAAATATATTTATTTAATAATAAGAAAATAAGAAAAATAGATGATTTTAAGTAGTTTCTATGGTGTAATATTTAGAGAAAAAAAAAAAAAAAAAAAAAACAAGAGTATAATGTCAAACACCAAACACATCCTTAAATTATAAAAGATGGCGCTTGGTATGGGGTTAGTTATAAAGTGTTTGTTTAGTATTTTTAATTGGATATATGTATATATTTATAGTACATATAGTTGACTAAGTGAATAATATAAAAAATAATATTTTTATTAAATTATCAATTTTTTTTAATAAATCAAATATATGTTAATTATGTAAGTGAGTATATATTGTATATTTTTAAAATATTTATAAAAAATATATATACTCCATCAAATTTTTTTATTGAATAAAAAATTTTTTATTTTTTTCATTATAGTATTAGTTAAAAAATTATACTATTATTTATATTTTTTGAATTTATGTATATATTATATTGCTATTAATATTTATTGAGAATTGTATAAATATATATATATATATTGAAAAAATATTTAAAATATAGACAAATGCATATCACTAATCACAGGCGTGTCACGTGCCGCACCTAACTCACCTAATCCACGTAATGCAATTTTTTTTTAAAGGAATTTGAATAGTTTTACTGAAATAAATAGATGTTGATGTGATGTTTTGAATGTAAAATTAATTTTTAGTATAATATAAAAAATAGATATTTAATTTGATATTTTGAAGAAAAAAAAATCAGATAAATAGTGAATTTAAAATTCAATGCCCGAACAAACACACTTATTTCAGAAAAATATATATAGTTGTTTATTTGAAGTATCGCACATGTTTTCTTTTACTATTTGTAGTTTATTTTAATTTTTTATTAGTTAAGTTATAAAAGTATTGTGTTATATTATAAAATTATTTTTAAAATATTTATTATTTTTATTTAAATTGTACAATATAAGCAATATATATATATATATATTGGAAAGATAACTGTAAAGTATAGAAGAACAATTATATTTTTTATTTTGAAAATAATTATTTTAAAAAAATTTAAAATATAATTTTGTGTTTTTTTTAATGACGTGAGAACCCATTATCACATTAAGCGAATCATACGTAACGGGTGACCTAAGGCGTTGGAGGGTCTGAGTCCATAATCTCACGGTCACAAATTCAACTCCTATGCCACCAGATCATTCCTTACGAAACTAATTTGTGTTTTTGTTGATACGTAGTATTACTCTTTTGTAATAAAATATAAATAAATTGGTTTTTATATCGTAAATAAAAATTAATTGAATATAATATTTTTTAAAAATTAAAATATTAAATAACAAAAAATATATTAAAAATATAAGTTATCATACACTAATTCATACAAAATAAAGTCGTCTCCATGTGTGTTCTTTTTTAAATATATTATTATTACTATTTTGTTTATTACATCTAGATCTACGAAAGTGTTTGTTTTTAATTTTAAATTAAAATATATAATTATTTGGTTGATATACGTTTATTAGATTTTAATTTATAATTAAAATTTAATTTATATAGTATTGTAATACTCCTTCCGGGTCAAATGATCATTTTAATTAAAATTAGGTGATGGATTAATAAATTATTAATAATAATTTATAATATTATTTTATTATTTTTTATATAAATAGTACTATTGATATTTTATATATTTTTAGTATTATAGTTTAATAAAATACATACAATATATATATAATTTTGTAGATAAATTTTTATATAATACAAATAAATAAAATATATATTTATTTATTTATAATTAATTTAAAACTATTTTTCTAGAAATATAAAAATTTTTAAATATAAATAAAAATATTTGTCTATTTAAAAGGGATAAAAATAAAGAAATTTTGAATGATCCTATATATAAAAAATTAATTAAAAAAATTTATATTTTTGTTAAATAAATTTATTCAACTAAAAATAGAATATAGTCGTATTCTATGGGATCAATAAAAAAAAAAAAACAAAATTGTCATTTTTATTATAAATTTAATCATTATTATTTTTAAAAGTTATAATAATAATAATAATAATACAAATGAACAGAAAGGTGGCGTTGTTTTAGTATTTAAGAATTTTTTATATTTTTATTATTCTTAAGTATTGATAGTATTTACAATTTTTATCCGTTAAGTCTTATTTTTATAAATAATCATATCTCCGTAAAATTACTTCTACTTTTTTATTTTTATTACACAATTGCCACTATTTTTTACATTAATACATTTACAAGGGCAAAAAAGTCTTTTATTCATATTTTTTACCCATTGCCAATATAATATCAATATTCCTTAAATACGTGTCAACTCAATTAAGACTATATTGGACGGAGGGAGTATTTTATGTTGATTACTGTGAATGTTTGAAAAGATTATTTAGTCCTTATTTATTATTCCTCTCTCCCACATAAATATTCAATATTTTTATATCCCTCCGTCTATATAATTTGTTTTTGTTTATTCTTAAAAAAATTATTATATATTTTAATTATATTTCAAATTTTATAATATATATTTTTATTTTAATCAAATTATTTATTTATTTTAATTTTAAAATATAATTATTTATTATTTTATCATTATTTTTTAATACTTAGACGGAGGGAGTATACTCGGTCAACCACTCTATTAGATCATTTTGTTTTGCCTTTTACTTTTCAGATTTAGGGGACTCGTTTTAAATCTTTCTGACAATTAAAAATTGCTGATGTTCAATTCATATTGAAAATATTTTAACTGAACTACCTACTTTTATAAATTGTTTATAAATAATTATTTTAATAAGTAGTTGTAATATTTGATATTTTATTAAGTACTTTGATTGCTCATATATAGAGTTGGCAAAATTATATATTGCCCAAAAATTTGATTTGAACATAGACAAAAAAAAATTGAGATTAGAAATTTGGCATAAAATATTTTCAGACCAAGTCAAAATGATTTAAGTTTAAATATTTTTAAAATTATTAATAAATATATAATAAAATTAAAGTTTAATTACATATTCAGTCTTTAATTTCTTAATTATCAATAAAATATTATTTTATTGTTATAATTATAATTATTTAATTAGTACTCCCTATGTCCCATATCTATATATCCATTTGCTTTTGAAACTGAGTTTTAGAAATATTAGTATTATATTGGGATAAAGTAGAAATAAAGATAAAAAAACTAAATTACTCATATTAGTATTGTATGATATAAAAGTAATGACAAATATATTGTATATTGAAAGGGTATTTATAACGTTAGATAGATGATATAATTACTAAAAAAAAAAAGGAATTGATACTTTGTTATGAGATGAACCAAAATGAAAAAATAGATAGACCGTTAAGGGACGGACGGACTATAATTTATTTTTAATTAAAAATTTTGCAAAATATAACTAAATTTAAATTGTAAAAAAATGAATGTATTTATTTTATACATAATCACACACTAATATCAAAATATATGTAACTTTTACATAAATTACAAATATACAATTTCATATACAATTAATTTATTCATACAGTGTGTAAAAAGTTTTGACAATTTTGTGTTTCGATTTTATGTATAAAGTAATTGTATTTGTAATTTAAATAAAAGTTAAATTGTACTTTGATATTAGTATATGATTATTTTTACTCAGAAAAAAAATGGATACTTTGAGTGTGACATACAAAAATAATAAAAATGATTATTTGAATTAAGACGAAAAAAATAATATATTATTTTAACAAATAATATAATTGTAAGATTAATTTATATACTTATTTAATTCGATTAAATATAAAACAACCTAAAGTTTAGTATAAATACTATTTGAATAAATTAATTTTAATTTACACATCTAGTATGATTAATTATTAATTAGCTGGTTTTAATCAATATCGGATTTAAATCAATTATAGAAAATATATAGCTAAATAAATAAAATAATATTATTCACCATAATCATAGGATAGAACCATGGCTAAAGAGTTACCTGTGGTAGTTGTGAGTCTTAAGGTTGTAAGAGGACATGTCCGGTATGGGGCG